CTGAGGTAAGGATTAGTAATAATATACTTCGGGGACTGGGGCTCAGTAACTCCTCTAAATTGTGAAACTAACATATACACATGGTAAAATAATATGGTACAAAAGAGGACACAGCAAACAATGGGTTCCCCCTCCTACTTCACACCTTTAATTCCTGTCCCCAGAAGTAACCACCATTAACAGCTTTTGTGTCACCTTTTGGAAATTTTCCACAGCACAGAAAGACAGAGAAGCTGTGTAGGATGGTGATTAGGGACATGGACTGCCTGGTTCGAATCCTGGCTCTTCTGCTTACTAGCTATGTGAAGCTTGGCCAAGCTACTTGGTCTCCGTGAGCCTCAGTTTCCTCATCTGTAAAATGGGGTTAATAAAATTAAGCACCTACTTTATAGGGTAGTTGTGAGGATTAAATGAGTCAATCTATGTCAAGTGTTTAGAACATTCTCTGGCACATGCTTGTTCAAAAAATAGACAGTGGATCCTTTCTGACAGACACTGAGGTAGCCTTTTGCAATCACAAACAATGCTGAAAGACACGTCCTTCTTCACCTGTCATTTGGCACAAGAGCAAGAATCTCTGTGGGATAAATTCCTGGCAGAGAAATTGCTGGGTCAAACAGTAGTGCCCTTGTAATTTCAATTAGCTTTCGGATGGGCAAATCCTCGCAGCAGGCAGGGAAGAGGGAAGAGGTCCGGAAGGCAGTGGACAAGGAGGAGCGAGATGTGGTGTTCCATCTCCGAGGTCCAGGGAGGACCATGTCTGCCCCAGAAACCTGGACGACGCAGCAGCTCCCCAGGCCCTTGGCCAGGCAGATGGAGGGTTTAATTTTATCCAGATTGTCTCTATAAGGCTTTTACAGGGAATTGGTTGATTGGATTAGAGGAGCAGGAGCCCCTAACGAGCACCGGCTGCTTACAAAACGCTGAGCAGATACAATTTGCCTTTGCCATCATCCGCCACGGCAGCATCCAGTCTTGGATAGGGACCCCTTGGATGCCAAAGGCACTACAGGATGGCACCCCAATTGGGTTTGCCTTCTTTGAACATCCTTCTAGGTCCCAGACATCCCGGAAGAGGTAGAGAGCAAGGGGTTAAGAGTACAGGTTTTGGGATAGGACAAAAAGTCCTTTGAGGAAATTACCGTGGGAATTTGGGTAAGTCATTTTCCTTTCTGAGCGTCAGAGAGTAATGGGACCTACCCTCCTGGGTTGTTGTGAGGACTACATGAAGTCAAGCACATAAAGTGTGTAGTACAGGGCCTCGCATATACTGAGAGCCTAATAAATGGTAGCCCAGAAGATAAAGATGGGGAATAAAGGCGGCTCCTCTGGCCCCCACCACAGAAGACCCCAGAAGGAGGTACACAGTTACCCCAACCACCTCCTAGGGAGCGCTCCAGATTTCCCAGGCTGCGAACGGGTTGTGATTTATGTTTCCAAGGAAGTTTTAATTCGGTTTTGTGTCTGATCCAAAAGGGCAAACTGAGGGTAGGAACTCTCATGTGGGAAGAGGGGAAGTTTCCCAAGCCTCCTCCGCCGTCCTGCACGTATCTGATCTGAAACCTACTCCTCAGAGAAGTCCCTGGAGTAAGAGCATCAGAGAGCACTCCCCTGATCCCAGCAGCACCTGAGCGGTTAAGGGACAGGCTCGGGGTCGCAGAGATCCCCACGAAGCGAGATCCCCACGAGGCTATTCGAGCGTGAGCTGTGCGCCTGAGTTCGCCTCTCCGAGCCTCAGTCCCCTTCCTCGCCTGTAAAGCGGGGATAATAATGGCTCTGTGGCACGGCTGCGGAGAGAATCGAGGTGACTGACGGTGGCACCTCGCCCCCGCCCCTGCCAGCCCGGCGTTCCGGGGGCGGCCACGGCCCGGGCGCGCAGCCGTCTCCGCCAAGCGGATCTCGCAGCCCAGGAGGAGGCCGCCGCCCTCCACGCCCCGGCGGGCGGGTTCCCCCGCGGCCTCCCGCGCCGCGCGGCGGGGACCCGGGTGATTGCAAACAGCCGCCGGCCTCATTAGGAGACGTGTAATTAGCGGCTGGCGCAGCCGGAGCCGGCACTGGCTAATTACCGCGGGGAGCGGGCTGCACCGCCGACGCCGCCCGCCAGGCGATGGCGCTGTCTGGGCCCCGGTGGCGCGGGGACCGCCTGGGTGTGCTTCCTCCCGGGGCTATGCCTGGGAGGAGGAGTCAATCATTCATTCAACACAGCGTTTACGGTGCACTCACTGCCAGGCGTTTTGACCACGTTATCTCGTTTAAATCTCAATTCCACCCACGAGGAAGGAAACATTATCTTATTGCACAGATGAGCAAACTGAGATCTAGAGGTGAGTTAACCCCCCATTTCCACGTGGCTGGAAAATGAGGGACAGGTGATTCGAACCGACGTCTGTAGTCTGCATCTTACACGAAGTGGGCAAGCGAAACCGTGCACAGGACGTGAGCCGAGCAGACGAGGGCGAAGACACTGGAGTCAGCCGGCTTTGGGTTAGAATTCTGATCCTGCTCCTTACTGGATGTGTGACTGTGGTCTGAGCCCCGAGGGCATCTGTAAAATGGGTGGGGTATTGGGATTAAGCGAGTTGAAAGCTGGGAAGTCTTCGGGGCGTTGTTTTAGAGACGGGAGCCTGGAGGGGGTGCTCTGAAGCGGTGTCTTTCTCCACGCACAACGGGCCTCTGACGCCCCCTGCTGACCAAAGGAGGACGCTCACTATCCGTTTTAGGATAACGGTTATTCTGCGGGGGGGGGGGGGGGGGGGGGAAGGAAAAGCGGACACTGGTCCCTCAGCAGTGCCACTGCTCTCCTGCCTCCCCTTCCTTCCTCAGCATCCCTCCTTTAAGGTGGCGAGGAGTGAGAGATGGAAAAAGTGAGAACTCATCCCAAATAATCTTGCAAATAATCAGTTGTGAAATCCGCCTCCCTCCATGGACCTTACAGGACCAGCCAAGCCCACGACAGTTCTACAGAGTCACGGACGGGTATAAAGACCTAGTTACAAGGCTGTGCATCAAAGTGCTGGGTATAACAAGAAAATCTGGAACTAATTTAAACGTCCATCATGGGAAAATTGACCAATTTAGCAATGGTACAGCCAAACAGTGCGATTCTGTGCAGCTGAAAAACAACTACGAAACATTTGATGTAAAATACAAACAAGAAGAATGAATCTTACAGACATGTTGAGCAAAAGGAGCCAGACACATACACACAAAAACATGCTGTTGGATATTTATATAATATAAAGTTCAAGAACAGGCAAAGCTAATCTATCATGATAGACGGCAGAACAGAGGTTACTTCCGGGAAGGTTTTTGACTGGGAAGAGGACGGGCGTGGGACCCTTCTTGGGTGCTGGAAATGCTCTATGTCCTAATCTGGGCGATGGTTACACAAGTCTACACATACGTAAAAATTCATTGAGTTGTACAATTAATACGCACTTTATGTATGTTATACCTCAATTAGACAGTTTTGGGGTTTTTTTGAGGAAGATTAGCCCTAAGCTAACATCTGCTGCCAATCCTCCTCTTTTTTCTGAGGAAGACTGGCCCTGAGCTAACATCGGTGCCCATCTTTCTCTACTTTCTATGTGGGACGCCTGCCACAGGATGGCTTGACAAGCTGTGCCATGTCCGCACCCGGGTTCCGAACCGGCGAACCCCAGGCCACCGAAGCAGATCATGCCTGCTTAATGGCTGCATCACCGGGCTAGCCCAGACAGTTTTTTAAAAAGATATTTAAGGGGCCGGTCCCGTGGCTGAGTGGTTAAGTTCGCGCGCTGCGCTGCAGGCAGCCCAGTGTTTGTTAGTTTGCATCCTGGGCGCGGGCATGGCACCGCTCATCAAACCACACCGAGGCAGCGTCCCACATGCCACAACTAGAAGGACCCACAACGAAGAATATACAACTATGTACTGGGGGGCTTTGGGGAGCAAAAGGAAAAAAACAAACTCTTTAAAAAAAATTTTAAAAAAAGATATTCAAGCAGAAAAAAAAAGAGTACTAAACAGTATGATCCTATTCTTAAAAAGAAAATAAAAGGAAAAATATAATTTAACCTAAGGCAGCAGTTCTCATCTCAAACTTTTCTCTTTGTCTTAGGACCCCTTTATACTCAAATTATTGAGAATCCCAAAGAGCTTTTGGTTTTGTGGGATGTATCGATACTTACCAAGGATATTAAAACTGAGAAATGTTTAAGACACAATACACAAATTCCATTAGCCGTCAGAGCAATAATGTCAGCGCATGTCATTGTAGCCTCTGGAAAACTTTACTGTCCACTCTGAGAGAGGGGGAAAAGGCAAATAACATCTTACTATTATTATGGAAGTAATTTTGACATTGAGGACTCCCTAAAAGGGTCTCAGGAAACCCAGTGGTCCCTGGATCTCACTTTGAGAACCACTGGCTCAAGGGGAAAATGACAGAAGAACACCCCCTGCATGATAAATTATTCTCTCTCGGTGCTGGGATTATAACATTTTCATTTGCTTCTTTGTGCTTTTCTGTTAAAAAGTTGGAAAATATAACGACCACAGATTGTTTTTGCAAACAAAAAACGAGACAATACGTCAGTCCATAAGATTGTTGAAAAGCCAAAACAGTGACAACATATTTGGTTATATGGAAAAATTAAAGCGAGCTCCAACTTGAAAACAGAGGTCCCATTTCCGTGTCAATTCCTGGCCTCTAAGTGCAAGTTCTTGCCCTCAAAAGTTCCACCGTCCAGCTTGGGGAGAGAATAGAAATGCATACACAACTGCATGGCAAGGTAATAGAAAATAAACGTCCCGAGACCCTCGAATGCAGCGGCTGCATCCTACACAGTACTGCAAACTCAGGCGTGGAGCAGAACCACCCATCACAGCTACAAGCCAGCGATCGCGAAGCCGAGTTCCGAAACGACTAAACCAGAGACAGTCTCAGCAGAACGCAGGCGCTCTGCAAACGCAGAGGGAGGCGGAGCTTGAAGGAGACTGACACTGGGCTTGGCCTCTCAATACTCTAGCTCCGCCCACCTACCCTACCTCCCTGTCTGAGTGGCTGCAAGACTTGCGGAGGCTAACTTCCCATTGGCCACCGGTGGGAACGCAGACATCCGGTTTGCGCGTCGGGGCGGCGGGCGAGGAGGCAGCCATGGTGCGGTTCAAACACAGGTAGGCATCCTTTGCCCGGTCCCTGCGGCCCGGGCCCCGCGCTCACCTTCTTCTCGCCCGCTGCAGGTATCTGCTCTGTGAAGTGGTGTCTGACGACCCCCGCTGCCGCCTGAGCCTAGAAGACCGAGTGCTGGGCAGCCTCGTACGGGACACGATCGCCCGCGTGCACGGGACTTTCGGCGCTGCCGCCAGTTCCATTGGCTTCGCCGGTGCGGGGGTGCTGGGGAACCGGGCGGACGGCGGGATTTGGAGGGAGCAGAGGCCGGAGGGGTTGAGGGGAAGAAGGGGCACGAGCGACGTAGCATCTAAGCCCGATGCATCATCCTCTATATCGTCCTTTTTGGGCGTCTGGGACCCCGAGCCCGAGGTCTGGACGATCCGAAATTAGGCGGAGGTATAAGAGCATAAGGCAATGGAACTTTAGGCAAGAGTCGCCTGTACTTATTTGGCATGTGTATATTGGCGACTGCAATTGAATTTAATATGATGGTTAGAATTAAATCAGGGGAGCCGTGTATACCGGGTGTTATTTGGCTGGTTACATTGACATCACATGGAAAAACCATGTTGTCAGAATTAGCCCTGAAAAGCCCTTAATAGGGCCAGAAAAGTACAGAACATAGAATTGTGTGTATAGAAATCAGGAAGAAGGGGCCGGTGGTGGCGCAGCGGTGAAGTGCGCATGTTCCACTTCGGTGGCCCCAGGTTTGATGGTTTGGATCCCGGTTCGGACATGGTACCACTTCGCAAGCCATGCTGTGGTAGGCGTCCCACATATAAAGTAGAGGACGACGGGCACGGATGTTAGCTCAGGGCTCATCTTCCTCAAAAAAAATGAAGAGGGCCCTCCCTACAGCCACACTATCTAAAGTGGTTCCCTCTTTGACCATGTGCTTGAAGCGGAGTCCTGGAGAATTAAATGCACATAAGCACAACTTTCCTACGTTAGGTGAGACTCGGTTGGCTGTTGCAGGAGCCTACAGAGCCCAGATGCAGTGGAACCACCTGTTTTTCAGCCAAGGGTTTTCTGAGGAAGATGGATTCCACCCCCACCCCCACCCCCATTTATTAACTAGTCAGTGAATTAGAAGAGTATTTAAAATTCTAAATTCATTCACCAATTCTGAGTGGTGTGTAAGGCACTGGGTGTTGTTAATCCCTTCCATAAACGAACGTCTGTCCTAAAATTTTTTTTCTTTCAGGAATCTGATTTTACTCACTGATGCATCCCAAGTGGCATTGCCTTGAACATTTTCTGGCACGTAGTAGGCCATCAGTTACACTAAAGTTTTTAACCTGCTCTTGAGAATCGTTTCTCCAAATGATTTTTTTTCTGCTGTAGTGCGATACCTCAATGCCTATACTGGAATAGTGCTACTTCGATGCCGGAAGGAATTCTACCAGCTTGTGTGGTCAGCTCTCCCCTTCATCACATACTTGGAGAACAAAGGTCACCGTTACCCGTGTTTTCTCAACACCTTACACGTGGGAGGTAGGGATGCATATGGTATGGCTGCTGATTTTCAATAGGTAACAGGTTCAGAGTTCGGGGGGGGGGGGTCGTCTTCCTGCTAGCCTGCCACAAACAAGATACTTTCCCCTAGCTCTGAAAGTCTTTGAGGCAGACACCTTTCACAAGCTGTTGACCACAAAGCTCTTTCATGTGCCAGGTACAATTAGAACATGTCAGAAGTTCCTGATTCAGTACAACCGGAGACAGCTGTTGATCTTGTTGCAACACTGCACTGATGAAGGTAAGCAGCACCAGCCCAGTGCCCACTGAGCAGTGACTGACCTGACCTTCCAGCTGAGGAAGGGGTCGCTCCCAAAGGTATCTTTCATCCCTGCCTTTGCTGTCTGCCTTTCTCCAGGAGAGCGGGAAGCTATCCAGAAGTCTGTCACAAGAAGCTGTTTACTAGAGGAGGAGTCGGGTGAGGAGGAGCTTTCAGATGGTGGCGGTGAGGAGGCTGCTGACACAATGGAGTGAACCTCTGCAGGCTGCATAGTGCTCAAGCCTCAGGACCCAGTTGGAGGAGGACACTCTGGGAGGCAGCGGCATCTTCTACAATTCTGCAAGCTGATGACTAGCAAACACAGGCCAAGTTACCAGCTCAAGATGGAGGACTTACTCACTTAAAACAAAGTGAGGTCACCCTTACCTAGCATTCCTGGTTAAGGGGTTCTGCAGGTTGTGAAGCCCCTATAGTTACAGACATCTTTGTATTCTTATTGCCTGGCCAAGAGCAGATTTAATAAATGCATCTGGCTTCCATAGCATTTAGCAAACTTAAATTCAAGCTTGCCCAAGTCTCTTTCCCCCTCTACTCCTGGCCTCAGTGGGGAGATTGGCTCCGTATGTGGTAGTGGATGCAAACCCTCCCATCTGAGGCCCTGTAACAGCAGCCCCTAGGATGGGCCCTAAGCAAACTAGGTCATTTAGAGCAGAAGTATGAGTCAAACTCAGCTGGTCTCATTACTGACCCAAAGGGCCTTAAAAATACCCTATTCCTTGCCAATACTTAATCAGATAACTTGACCAAAAATGCAGTTCTTGCACTTTTCTTGGGGGGGTGGGGGGGAACCTGGCCTCACCTGACGTCATTATTACAAAGCTGAGTAGCAGCTGCCAACTTCTGGTAGTTTTCTGCAGTTCCACCCTTCCCTATTGCCTTACACCTGAGGACACGTGAGACTGCCACACTCACAGGGATTAGGAGGGACGAGAGACTTGTGGTCAGTTTTGATCTGCCTACTAATGACATTTCTCAGATCTGTTTTCTCCATAATAAAATGGATGTCACTCAAAGTCCCTTACACATACAACAGAAAGATTTGTGATTTTTTGCTTCAACGTGCCCCTTTGTGGGCTAGAACACCCTCACCCACCCAGGAGTTCTTGACCCAGGACTTCTGAACCTCTCCCTTTTAAGAATGGCAGGTTAATGCTAAGCCAGCCCAAGACCCTTTAGGTCTGACACTAGAAAAGACATTACTCCATGACAGCAGAATTGCTCAAGCTCAAAGTAGCTGTTACTTTAACCTATTTAAGAAGTATGTCTAGAGGGCCGGCCCACTGGTACAAGCAGTTAAGTTCGCATGCTCTGCTTCGGTGGCCTGGAGTTTGCCAGTTCAGATCCTGGGCCCGGACCTACACACCATTTGTCAAGCCGTGCTGTAGCAGGCGTCCCACATATAAAGTAAAGGAACATGGGCACGGATGTTAGCTCAGGGCCAGTCTTCCTCAACAAAAAGGAGGATTGGTGGCAGATGTTAGCTCAGGGCTAATTTTCCTCAAAAAAAAAAAAAAGCATGTCTAGCTGACCTATAATGAACTTTAAAAAACCAGAAAGCTCACATTGCTTGTGCAGGTGCTTTATTGCAACTATTTGCCTTCACATTCTATTACACCTAGAGGTCACTTTATTAAGCAGCAAAAGAAATCACATCACTCAAATTCAGCTTGAACCAGGGCATAAGACAGCTCTAAACAACAGGGAGGTGGTGGGCAACCCCACTGCTTTCAAACCTGCCCTGCTCTGCCTCCAGGTGTGCCAGACTCCTCTGCTCATACAACTCAGGCCACTGTCACTTGAAACAAGCTTGATCTAAAGGTTGCCAGGTCCCAGGGCTTCCGCAGTCAATGACAGTTACAGCTTTCCTTGCCAAACAAGCCACGTTCGAGAGGCAAAATCCTCCATCACACCTGCAAGTGCAACCCAGGTCTGGCACCACAGCCCGGCCATTTGTCAGAAGAAAAATGGCAACTCTAACTGTCCTAAATTCATTTTACTCCCATCCCTCTGTTTCTTTAACAAGAGGAGAACTGCACAGATAGAAAAGATTCAGCTATTTTTACATGACAAACTGGTAGGTATGCTGAAACCATGATGCCCTGACATGTGATGTCACAGCAGAGAAGTGCTGCTATGCCACTCTGGTTTGGGCTGCTCCAAGGGATGTCAAAGGGACTCAGACTTATTTTGGGTTGAGAAAAAATAATGGGTCATAAAGACTAACCTGGCAATGAACTAAAAACCTTGGCAGGAAGAGATCTCTTGTGAGTGTCAATACTTTATTTTGGTGTAAAGACAGGAAGCTGGAAAATACACTGTATTTAAAATTTTCTTGGTTCCCCCTCACACTGTGGAAACCCCCTCCCCCCAGAGCTAATCTGTCCAAACTCAAATACTTAAAAATTACAGCAGCAAAACAAAAGCACGGAAAAAAGAAAACCAAATGGAGAAGGTAGCCTGGGCCAGTAGTGTCACTTGGTGTGGACGACTGAGGTGCTGAACAGGAGCTTCTGTTTCTGTTTTTTTCTCTTCTTTCCTCCTTTCTCTTCTAAATGGAAACAGAAAGGGCGCTCAGGTTAGAATGCTATCCCCTTGTCCCCAACCAGCTTTCATTAGTGAGAGAGTGGCAGCTGAGAGCGCAGGCTGTGGAATTAGACTGCCTACTAGACTCAAACACCAGTCCTTGCATCCGCCAGCTGTGTGTGTGTGTGTGCTTTTTTTTCTGCTTGAGGTATCTTCTGGGGAGATACCCAAATCCCCCCAGTACATAGTTGTATATCCTAGTTGCAGGTCCTTCTAGTTGTGGCATGTGGGACGCCACCTCACCGGGGCCTGACGAGCAGTGCCATGTCGGCACCCAGGATCCGAACCAGCGAAACCCTGGGCCGCCGCAGTAGAGCACGTGAACCCAACCACTTGGCCATGGGGCGGGGCCCAACTGTGTGTGTTTTTAAATCTTTTAAAAAAATTTTGTGTGCGTGTGAGGAAGACTGTCACTGCACTAACATCTGTGCCAATCTTCCTCTATCTTATGTGGGAAGCTGCCACAGCGTGCTAAGATGAGTGGTGCTAGGTCTGCGCCCAGGAACCAAACCTCCAAACCCCAGGCTGTCGATGTGGAGCACTTGAACTTAACCACTACACCACCAGGCCAGCCCCTAGGTGTTTATTTCTAGGCAAGTCACTTTATGCCCCTAGACCTCCCGTTCCTCATCAGTAATGTAAGAGTTACACCCATTTAATGGGGTTATTGAGAGAATAAAATTAGCACAGTGCTAGGCACATAGAAAGCACACCATAAATGTTAGTGTTATCCTTGTCTAATGAATACCAGAGTAGGGGTGGGCTTTGAGCTTGACTTTTCCTTCTATTAGCCACCCTTTACCAACCCAGTATTCTAAAATCTACCCTCCACCACTGTGTGAGTTGTTCCTCAGAATTTCACATCCAGGCCTCAATAATTAATCTGGGGTGGCAAAAAGGTCCTGATATACCAAATGGAATGTTAGTTGACACGAGAATGTGAGCCTAGAGGCTCAGAGGGAAAGTGCCCGACTGATTAGTGATGTCTGCCACTGGATCCAGTTGGGAATGACAACCCTGAGCTGAGCACTCCACTGTTTTGCCTTTACCAGAGAGGGGATCCGAAGTAGCTGGCGTGTCCAGCTTCATGAAGGCTGCTTCAATAGCTTGGCTGAAGGAATTCTGGAAGCTGGGCACAGGAACACGGTCCGAGTTATCACTCTCCCCATCGCTGTCCACAGGGGCAGGAGGAATTAAGCTGTTTTCATCTAAAAAACACCAGTATTACAATTCTAGAAACAACTCTAGAGGCTTTTACTTTCTGAAAGGGGTCAATTCCCCCTTCACCACAGGTCCAACCTCACCTTTCTTTGGAGCAGTTTTGGGCCACACATCTGCTTTTGCTTTTCCGACCCTCAGCATCTGCCAAAGTGGGAAAGGGGGGAAAAAAGAATTTTAAGTAACTGGTCCAATTTCTTTTTGAGACTCCTACCTTGATGCTAACTGGTTAGGGGGCCAAAGAACCAACTACCACCTCTTGAAAAAAGATTTTCTAGGTATTTTCTCCTTAACACACTGTTTTGGTCATGTCCTCTATATCTTGACCAATGCAACTGGCAGTGAAACTCACAAGGTGGGAAACCAGAAGCTGTTTTGTTCCTTAAGAAACAAGTAAATATTGCCAAGAAGGAATAAGAGGTTCTTATTCAGACTCTCAAGTTGGGAATCCTGACTTTGTGTCATTCCCTGCTTCTAATAAATTTTCCTGCTCTTCTTAGGACCCCTAAAAACATCAACCTCTTGGAGTAAGCAGTGTGCAGTACTCTCCAATTTTAAAACAAACCACTTGGCAATTGAACTTCAGTTATTTAAGGCCATGAAAAGGACAATTTATCCTGAAACTGCTCCAACAGCCTTCACTGCCTTTTACAGTCTTTGCTTTTTCAGTAACTCCTTAACTTGTAGATCCAGCCATAGACCAGATTCCCGCAAGTATAGTAAAATCAGAGCAATCCTTTCTGCCCGAGGAATTTTTTCATCTCACTTGGCCAAGGCCAGCTCTGTAATTGTTGAGGGCCACTATGACTCTGATCTGCCACACACGTCATTGCCAACTCAAAGCAAGGTGGATTTTATTCCTGGAAAAATACAAAGAGACAAGCCTCACAAGATTCAAGTACGAATGTCTTGACCTAAAGTATGTGTCCCAAAGTGAGGCTTGCGTATCATTTAAGATCAGCTGGATTGGCAGACAATGATTTCATTGAATAACTTTTCTTCATCACATCCCACTTTGATGATCTCCCTGGGAGTTTGGGGTCCAAATACAGTATGGCATCTGAATCATCTTCCTCTTAAAACATCATTAAAATATATATATTTTATTCTTGCCACCAAACGTTTAAATGTTTAACTTGAATCCACTCATGAAAAAACAGACAAATGCAAACTGCAGGACATTCTATAAAGCACCTGGCTGGGATGCTACAAAAATATCAATGCCATGGGGGGAAAAACAAAAAAAAAACGGAGGCGAAAGGAACGGTTATGGATCAAAGGAGACTAAAGAGACTTTGACAACAAAATGCAGTGAGTAACCTGTGACTGAATCTGACTGAACATACAGGACACTGGGACAAATGGGGAAACAGAAATATGTACCATAGTAGATATTACTGAATCAGTTGTATTTCTTTGATGTGATAATGATAAATGTGGTTATATAGAAGAATGTCATTTTGGGGGCATGTATCTCAAGTATTTAGTGGTGAAGTGTCATTCATGAGGTCTGTAACTTATTTTCAACATAGCAAAAAAATACAAAAAGAAAGCAAATATAGGAAAATAGTAACAACTGGCGAATCTAGGTGAAAGGTATGAGTGTTCATTATACTATTCTTTCAACTCTTTAAAGTTGGAAGTGTTTCAAAATATAAAGTTGAAAAAAAGAATGGCAATAAAACCTAGTTAAAAAACAACTTAAGCATTTGACATAACTCCTGAGAGCCACTTGCTTATAACCGCTGAAGCCTAGCAGTTAATTTTCAGGATTGCTCTCAATTATTTCATCCTCCTTGACTTCAGGACTCTCTTACCAAAGTTCAATTCCTGCTTATTTCTCAGTACAAACTGCCATTTGTATGTGAGAAACATCCATTATCAACTGCTCTAAAGGACTGTTAAGCTAATAATTCCAAATTAGCCCCAAAGAAGTTAATACTGACTTCTTATGGGGGTGCGGTCAAGCTGTCCATCTTCCTCAGTTATCTGAACGCAGGAATGGTGAGTGTTTGCTGGTTCTTTAAAACATTAATAAAGTGATTTGACATCAAGTCTCACTAGCCTAGTGTTCCCCGCCCCAGCTCCCCAAGAAAGCTGGTTTGGCTAGTTACAGGATAACCAAGACAACCTTTCCCTTCCCTCAGTGAAGAGGAATGGTGTATCACATGTTACATGCCGCTTGAAACACAGGTCCTAGAACCAGGGAACAGTTAAAAT